TTTTCAGAGATTTTTCCATCTTCTTCATACCTCAGTGTGAAAGAAAAATAAAAATAGCAGCATTTGCCCCCTGTGGAGCTCACAACTGGGAAGTGCTCCTTCATGTTTTAATTGCAAAACATTGCACTAACTAGAGAACAAGCTGGTATACCATCTGTCCCAAGTTTCTCTACCTTTATATCTGTGTAGGGAGTCAAGGGGCACATTTCTTTGTAATAATACAAAAAATAATGATATGCACCCATACTATGGATTCCAACCAATGATGAAACCAGAGGTCAAAGACATACTTCCATAACAGTCTTACCAGACAGCAGTTCAGTAAGAACTAAAGTTTTGTAACAGTGAGAATGAAGGACTCTAAATGTACAATAATAAAGAATTAATTAATTATTGGGTGTGGTGGCACACACCTGTAACCCCAGCACTTTGGGAGGATAAGGCAGGTGAACTGCACATTTTAGCCAAGCCTGTCTAAGATCCTGTCTCAAAAAAAAAAAGGAAAGGAAAGGAAAGGGTAGGATGTGGTAGCTCAATGCAAAAGCCCTACTTTCAATCTCTACATTAAAATACAATGCTGGGATCACTGCTTTCTCCATTTTCTAATTTTTAGTACATGTGGCAACAATGTATCAGAGATACAAAATTATAAATAACAGTAATACTAACATTTTCACAGCACATTGTAGTCCATGTGTATATTAACCTATGATATTTCACTTAACTCTTTCAGCTGCAAAAGGTATTATCCTGAACTTATAAGGGAGGAAAATGAAGTAGCTTACCTTTTTATAAAGGTTTACAGAAGTGCATAGTAGGACTGAATAGTCTTTCATCTACATAATTAACTAAAAGCTCAATTATAAAACCTAAAATTTTTCTCTGCAACCATCACATACACACCTCATTACTAAACAAGCACCTGGTTTAAAGCAGAAAGGGGGAGAAGGGAAGCTCCACCTTAAAAAAATATCAAATAACTGGTAACTTCCTTTTATCATGGTGAGCATTTAAATCTACTGAATTCCTAAAACAGTCAAGAGTTAGAATGACCCTATTTAATATTTTTCAGTTCTTTTTTTTTTTGGTACGGGGGATGGAACTCAGGATCTTGCGGCGGAACCACTGAGCTAAATTCCTGGCCCTATTCACTTAGTTCTATAATTACCCTTTGAGGTAAGAGGTAGCTACTATCATTTTAGTAATACGAAGTTAAAATTTCAAACTTAATTCAAAGAATCACATTCCAGAAGCCCAGATTATTAAATCTGTAGCCAATCCTCAAAAATGTAGGTTATGCCCAAATCAAAGATGTATCTACCATTTAACAGGGGGTGGGAGTACAGAAAGGAAAATGCAAAGAAGAGAAAGAGTGGATGAAACCAATATCAAGTAGGTGCCTTGTAAACTATCATCTCTGGCTTCTGAAAAAGTCATAAATAATTTTATGCTCTTCCCAAAGAGCATCTGCTATAGACTTAATAACAAATGATAAGCCAAGAGAAGTTTCATAAAGAAAGTCTGATAACTTACCAAGGTCAGATGTGAGAATTAAAAAAGAAAATGCTATTAAGTAAGCTCAAGCTACAGGCATAAAAACTCTAAAGACAGGTTGACAAGCATTTACAAATCAACAATATAGGGTCTGTCTACTTCTTTAGAAGTCCAACTGTATCACAGACATCAGAATAGACTTTAAGAGGTCCAGTTTTTAGGTTTTTAACTAGTAAAAATAAGAGGCTGGGGGTTGAGGATTTAGTTCAGTGGTTCCGCCACCTGCTTTTACAAGTGCAAGGTCCTAAGTTTGATCCCTGGTACCAAAAAAAAAAAAAAAAAAAAGGAGGTTCATTCTTTTCCTCCTAGCTGTAAAATTAAAAGATACAAAACCGACTGCAACTGTTGCTGAGTATGATTTAGATGAGACATACATCTTAAAGGTGTAGAGAAGCACCTTGAGTGCCATCCTGAGATCAGCCCAACATTTTTTTTTGTTTTTGGGTAATGGGGGTTGAACTCGGGTCCTTATGCTTGCGAAGCAGGTGGCAGAACCACTGAGCTAAATCCCCAGCCCCCATCCAACATATTTAACCTACTTCACCTATTAATATTGCAAAATTTGCTTAGTTTCTATACGTCTTCAGGGACAACAAGAAAAACATTCTACAGGGACAGAAAACACATGCAAAGGTTAAGATACTTGTTTTTAGTATTGTATGTATGTTAGTTTGAGACAGGGTTTAGCTATATTCCAGGCTGGCCTCAAACTTACAAGAATCCTCTAGCCTTAACCTCCTACATGCTGGGATTACAGGTGTGCACCACCATACCCAGTTTAATTGCTTATTTTCTTAGAGTCTTACAATATGCAGCTTTCACAGCATTCTAAAATTTGAGTTATACAGTGGTATAAACATGATTTCAACGATAAAAACACGAATAAGAACATGAACTGGTAATATCAACAAATATAAGTAGTCATAATAGGACATTAAACTGAAAACAGTATTTGTGAGCTACGATTTTTTTGTAAAATATTGCTCTATTCTGTTTTTAATAAAAATCACTTCATTTATTTTCTTCCTTTATTTTCCCTCTCAACCTGAGTTCTAACAGAGAAGACAGCTGAGCCCTGTTTTTAAATAAATCATAAATGGGTAATGGTTCCTCTAAACAATAAGAGCTTGCAATGGCCTATTATCTAGAGACATGATGGGTTCTTGTAATTTATTCTTCCTAGCAAACTTATGCCTTTTATTCAATGGTGGCTGCCACAGAGCAGGGTGCAGACAGATTTGAAACATACTGAATCAACTTATGTCTTTCAACATGGTGTTATCTTTTTTCCCTTTCTCTTCCTGTGATCAAACCCAGGGTCTTATACATGCAATGCAAATGCTCTACCACTGAACTACATCCCCAGCCCTTTAAAGTTAGTTTTTGTAGTTCAAATGAAACTTTGGAAATAATAGAAATTTACTATTTATTTGCTTTTGTTTTTTTGGTACCAGGATCGAACTTGGGTCCTTGTGCTTGTGAGGCAGGTGCCGGAACCACTGAGCTAAATCCCTACCCCGAAATTTACTATTTAAAAGCCTCCTAAAAAAACCTCAAGAATACTGTGGCCAAGGAGAACCATCTACAGTACCCATTTTCTTGGTTGGCTCCAGTTCACTCAATGCCAAAAGATAATGAAACCTCTTTTCAGTGCTCTTTATTTTACTTAGACTTTCCTCATTACCCAGTACTTCCTAAATCTCTTTATTCAACATATTGCAATGTATCTTTGGAGAAATTAATTAAAGCAAAACGTATTAAGCTTTGGCTTTATCAATGTGTAGCTTTTCTTTGAGAGGCAGATCAGAGAATAATCAAATTGTTTTGCCATAAACATTTAAATAAACTCATATTAACAAATCAAGATACTTTCAATTTGCAAACTGGTCTTTTACAAAAATAAGCAATTTTAAATACCTATAATCCAAAAGGTAAGGGAAAAAAATTCTTTGCTATCCAGCAATTCTACTTTTGGTATCCAGAAGAAATGAAAGCAGGGTCTGAAGAGACATTTGCTTTGTTTTGATTGTTTCTGAGACACAGTCTTGCTACATAGCCCATGCTGGCCTCAAATCCTCCTGCATCAGCCTCTCAAGAGATGGGATTGCAGGCATGTGCTACCACACCCAGATTCCTGAAGAGGTATTTGTATAACCATGTTTATAAAGCCTTATTCACAATAGCCAATGGGCAGAACCAACCTAAGTGTCCAGCAATGGATGACTGAATAAACAAAATGTGATGTATACCTATAATGAAAATTAATATTCACTTAAAAAAGGAAGAAAATGCTTATACATACTATGATAAGAGTGAATCTTTTATTTTTTATTTTAGATTTTTATTTTCCTCCTGGACAGGGTCTCACTATGGAGTTCAGGCTGGCCTTGAACTCGTAGTGATTCTCCTGTCTCAGTCTCCCCAGTACTGTGATTACAGGTGTGTACCTCCATGCCCAGTGAATCTTGAAATACTATGCTAAGCAAAATAAGCTACACATAAAAGGACAAATATTGTACGATGCCACATATATGCAGTACCTAGAGTAGCCAAATTCATAGAGACAGAGGACAATGGGATGGCTAAGGGCTGGGAGAAGGGAAGAATGAAGAGTTGTTCAACAGATATGAAGTTACAGTTTTAGATAACGAAGAGTTCTGCAGATTGGTTGTATACCAATGTGAATATACATAATACTGTAACACTTAAAGAACTATTAAGATAGGGCTGGGAATAGGTTTGTGGTAGTGTGATTGCCAGCACTGAAGGAAAAACAAAAAACTTTCCCGCAGCTAAATCATAGGGTTGAAAGCTCTTAGCTTTGAACTATCACATTATCCATCAGGTCAACAACATGTGGCAGGGTGCGAAGTTCAGCATGACAAGCAGCTTCTTTTGAGTCTCAATGCCACTTAATAAAAGGTGTGTTGTCTGAAATAATTAGCCTTCTAAAAGGAAGAGCTTTAACCCTGCACTGGAACTGGTTAGTGATCTCAGTTTCCCTTCATTAAGCTCTTGACAGCTTAGTGTCCTCACATCTGTCACTGTTTGGGAGACTGATTCCAAGAACATAAATTGCTTCAAGGCCTAGGCAACAAATTAATTCTGGTTCATAGGACAGATTTGTACCCATCTGTTTTCTAATCAAAAGCCATACTTGAGTCAGTTTTGTTCCATCACAGGGCCAAACTAATGGGAGCAATATAATCATATGGTATTTTCATCCTTTCTATCTGTGTAGTATAAATGACTACAGAAAACACAAATCAATTAAATGTCCCAGAACATCTTCAGAAATGGGTCTTTCCAAATTGCAGGATCCACTAGCTTTTCAATTTTTATCTCTTTATTCTTCAGACACTAGTGATTACTTTTCCTCTGAGTTACATAGTTTTATAGGAATTGCAGAGAGGGCAAATATTACTAGGCTAGAGCAATCAACTTACCTTAATCTTTTTTTAAGTTGTAAACTGTCATGGATGATCCTTTTAACAAACTCTAATTCACCTCCTTCGGCCATGATTTCTGTGATACCTCCTGTATTTACAGAACTAGGTGGAGGTCTTCGAGAATTTCTAGAGTTAACTCCCTGGACAACAACAACAACAACAAAAACTCTCATGAAAAATATTTACACATTAAGAACTGTCTTTATAATCAGCTGTCAAAAAGAATGTTTAAATGTAGTTTTATTTTCCACTATTACGCTAGATTTAGGATTTAAAAATCACATATCCATATTTTAAACAACTATATTCATACAAATATTCCATCCTGAAGATTTTATCTTCTATCCTTGTGAATAAATATTTGAAAATTTCTACAGCACCTGTAGTACATCTCTGCAATCCCAGCATTCTAGGAGGCAGAGGCAAGAGGATCTTACACTCAAGGCTAGCCAGTGAAATTTAGCAACTTGTGAGACATTATCTTAGAATTTTTAAAAGCATATGGAGGGCTGGGGATATAGCTCAGTAGTTAAATACAAAGGCTCTGGGTTCAAGCCCCAGTTCTGCAAAATAAATACATAAAATAAAATTTTAAAACTCGTTTATTTTTCTTCATGCTTTCTACCTTGATACCATGCACAGAAAATTTACCCAAAAATTGTTTACTCATGTTTCCCTCTAGTTCTTGGTTTTGTTTTTAATATTTAAATATTTAATACACCCTTACCTCAGATCATATGAAAAAATGAACTCAAAATATACCAAAGACCTAAATGTAAAAGTTAAAAACTATAAGCCAGGCATAGTGGCAGTGGCATACACTTACAATGCAAGCACTCTAGGAGTCTGAGGCAAGAGCAAATTCAAGCTCAGTACAGGAAACTTAGCAAGATGGTCTCAAAATAAAAAACAGAAAAGTCTCGGATATAGCTCAGTTAAAAGGCTCTGGGCTCAATCCCCAATACAAAAAAAGCTGAAACTCTCAGAACACAACACAGAAGTAAATTTTCATTACTTTGGATTAGCCAAAAGTTTCTTGATATACCAAAAGCATAAGCCTCAATAACAAAAACTAGACAAACTGAATTGGACTTCATCAAAATAAAAAACTTCTGGATTGAGCACAACACCCTCAAGAAAAGACAAACAGGGGCCAGGGATTTAGCTCAGTGGTGCCACTGCCTGCCTCACAATATGATCCAAAGAAAACAAAAGAAGACGAGAAGAAAAGACAAACAAGAGAATGGGGGAAAGCATTTGTTACCTAATAAGGGACTTGTATCTATGATATATAAAGAATCCTTAAAACCAGTAAGGAAAGAAGATCCTTATAACATCATAATAAAATGTAATAATAATAAAAAAGAAAATTAACCTAATTAGAGAATGGGCAAAGGCATGCCAAAGAGGATACACAAAAGGCCAATAAGTGCATAAAAGGATGTGCTTGCCCTTCAGTACATCATCAAGTATCTGGAAACGGTCAAAAAACCACAACGTGACACCCCTTCACACCCCCCAGGTTAGCTGTAATCATAAAGATAGAAAATAAGAAACGTTGATGGGGGTTCAGAGAATTGAAACACTCAAAGACTGCTGCCACCGAACACATACAGTCACACTGAAAAGGAGCCTGGTGGTTTCTCAAACAATTAAACAGAATTACCATAAGGCCCAGCAGTTCTACTCCTGATTATATACTTAAGGTAAGTGAAAACTTATGCCCACAGAAACGGTTGTTCGTGAACACTTATATCACCATTCCTACGAGCCAAAAACTAGAAACAACCCAGATGACTATCAACTGATGAAGAGAAAAAAATGGACCCATCTGTCCATCTCTTTGGCAACAAAGAGAAATAATGTATAATGTACGGGTACATGCTACAAATGGATGAACCTTGAAAACGCATATTAGTCTTAATAAAAGAAGCCACAAAAGACCACATTCCATTTATACGATATGTCCAAACAGCTCAAATCCACAGAAACAGAAAGCAGACTGCTCCTTACTAGGCCACAGGGTACTGGGGAAAAACCAGAATGAGTGAGTGATTGCTAGATTTCTCTTTAGTGTAACAAAAATGTTCTCATTTGACTGTGGTAATGACCATACACCTCAGTGAATGTACTAAAAATAATTAAATCCTATAATTCACATGGATGAAATTACATGGTATATTAATATATTGCAGTATAATAACTTGGTTCAGTAACGCAGAAACGAGGAAACCTGGAAACAGTAACTCTATGGTACCACAAATTTCATAATCAAATTGTACCTGAAGCCTAAATACTGCCAGATTTTCAGATACATATTTACTGCTGAGCCTATTTTTTTCCCCCATCAGTACTGGGGTTTGAACCCAGGGCTTTCACACTGAGCCACATCCTCACCTCTTCCCCTCCCCAATTTTTTTTTTTTCAAAGACAACTGAATTTTATTTTTATTGCATACATCTTGGTATTGTGCTAATAAACTAGCAAAATATAAGTATTAAAGACACACATAACTCATAAATTGATTTATACTGTTTACCCAATTTTTCTTGATTTAGTTCAGTCAAAGCAAGAACAATGCTCTTATCATGAAGATGTTATTTCCAAATAACTTGGCATTATTAACAGTAACTATCTCAGGTATAAAAACATAATTTTATTCAAAATCTCCATGATTATACTTTTTAAAATGTAAGTTGCAGTACATGTAGTAAGTACAGTATATTTTCATGTGTTTCCAAGTTTTGTTTTCCTGCTTTCAAATTGAAAAAATTAAAAGGAAAAACTAAAATCATGAATAATGAACCTCAGCAACTAAAATTGTTTAAAAAAAAGCAATCTTAGTTTAAATTACATTTTGAAAATTTAAGTACTTCTTTTTTTTTTTATTATTTTTAAAGAAAGGGTCTCACCAAATCACTAAGTTGCTATGGCTGGGTTGAAACCTTTGATCCTTCTGCTTTAGCCTTCCAGAATGCTGGGATTATAGGTGTGCATTACCACATCCAACTACTAAGTCTAAACTGTATTTTTAGGTACTTTAAATCAAAGTATCCTAAATGACATAGCTTCCAAAATAAAAGCTGCCTTTTACTCTTATCTCTGGAAACAAGAAAAATTTAGGTAAGTATTCTATTACTTTAAGTAGAATATATTTTACCTTGGCCTCCAACTGGTTGGCAAAAAAAGGAGGGTTGCACATGCAAAAGTCATAGATTATCTCAGATTCTTCTTTAAGAGCATCCATTAGGAGTGTCTTCTGTGGTACTTTTACCACTACAAGGAAAAAAAAGGAACTGTTAATTATTAATGCAGTAGCAGTTTTATAATATGTGCAGATTCTTTGACACTACTCCTCTTCAAGAGGTGCAGTTTATAATTTTCCTCCCTTTGAGTGTAGGCTTCACCTAGTGACTTAATTTTATCAGAGTATGATGGAAATGACAGGGTGTCACAAAAAGCAGTACAGTTTTCTTGCTTTCTCATGAATACTTGCTCCAGGAGAAACCAAATGATGCTATAATGAAACTCTAGGAGCCCACATGGCAATGAACTAAGATTTCACTGCAAAACAGAGAGGCAAAAGACTCAGACTAGTAAATATAATACATACACAAAGTCTGATACTACCAAACTTCAAACTTAATACAGTAATTAAGATAGGACCAGGGATTTAGCTCACAGGTCCCACCCACCTGACCGGCAAGCACAAGGACCCATGTTTGATACCAAGTACCAAAAACCATAACCAAAAACAAAACAAACAACAAAAAAGGATGATGGGCTGGGGATTTAGCTCAGTGGTTCCACCGCCTGCCTCACAAGAGCAAGGTTCCAAGTTCAATTTCCGGTACCAAAAAAAAAAAAAGAAAAAAGAATAAAAGGATAGATCAATGGAATAGAGCAAAGAGCACAGAAATGCAGACAACTAATTTTCTTTGGTATTGCTGGGAATTGAACCCAGGGTCTCATGCTAGACAGACATTCTACCAAATACATACTTCTAACCCTTGGTTCAGCCACTTTGGAGGACAGTCTGATGGTCTCTTACAAACTTAAACATACCAAACTGTCCCTCAGTAGGAGAATGAACAAACTGTAATACATGATGGCATATGCCTGTTATTCTTAGCAGTCAAGAGGCTGAGCATGTAGAATGTGAAAGTTTGAGGCCAGCCTAAGCTACACAGCTGAGTTCAAGGGCAGCCTGAACTATGTGACAAGACCCTGTCTCAAAAAACAAAAAACGGGGAAAAAAAAACCCCACAAAACAAAAATTGAATAAAAAATTTAAAATTAATTAAAAGTTTTAAAAGGGCTAGGAATATAGAGCCATGCATGAAGTCTGACCACCCAGTCCAAAGAAAGAAAAAGAAAGAATGAACGAACGAACGAACTGTGGTACACCCAGAGAATGGAATATTGAAAAGAAATGTGCTGGGCCAGGGATTTAGCTCAGTAGCACCACACCTGCCTTGGTAGCACAAGGTTGTGAGTTGATCCCTGGTACCAAAAGAATAAATATATACATAAAAAAAATTTTTTTTGGTACCAGGGATCAAACCTAGGACCTTGTGCTTGCAAGGCAGGCACAGTGCCACTGAGCTAAATCCCCAGCCCAATAAAATTTTTTTAAAAAGTCGGGTGTGGTGGCACACACCTGTAATCCCAGCACTCGGGAGGCTGAGATAGGAGGATCACTGTGAGTTCGAGACCAGCATGGGCTACATAGTGAGTTCCAGGTCAGTCTCAACTACATAGTGAGACCCTGTCTCAAAAAACCAAAAAAAAACAAAACAAAACAACAACAACAAAAAACCCACACATACACACATACAAACAAACAAAACAAACAAAAAACAAAAAAAGAAAAAAAAGAAAAAGGGCCAGGGATTTAGCTTAGGGGTGCTGCTGCTTGCTTTGCAAGTGCAAGGACCTGAGTTCAATCCCTAGTACCCCCACTTTCGCAAAAAAATGAAAAGAAATGTGCTACAAATAGCAAGTTACCAAACTAGAAAAGACATGGATAAAATGTGAAAGAGTATTACTACACGAAAGACATCAATCAAAAAAGGCCACTTTGTCTGACTCCCAACTATATAACATTCTGGAAAGCACAGTGATTGTCTTAAAGTGGACTGAGGAAGAATGAGGTGGAGCACAGAGGATTTACAAGGCAGAACGATGAGATACATCATGTTCACTTGTCTAAAACTTTGTAGTGCACAACATTCACAGTGAACATTACTGTAAGCTGGTTATGGATGATAGTGACTTTCAAGTTTAACTAATGTCCCACTTTGTAGCAGAGGTTGCAAATATACAAGGGGCAAGGAGCATACATAATTCTCTGTAACCTCAATTTTGCTGTGAACCTAAAAAATGAAGTCTATTAAGAAAAGTTGGGCTGGGGATTTAGCTCAGTGGTTTTGCCTCTGCCTCAAAAGCACAAGGTCCCAAATTCGATCCATGTAACACACAAAAAAAGTCTATTAAAATACGCAAACAAGGGCCAGGGATTTAGCTCAGTGGTTCTGCTGCCTGCCTCGCAAGCACAAGGTCCCAAGTTCAATCTCTGGTACCAAAAATAAAATAAAATGAAATAAAATACACAAACAAAAATTACTTAAGGACATATAACAAATTATTTTAAAAACATATTCAAGAGGGCCGGGGATTTAGCTCAACAGTTCGGTGGCCTGCCTTGCAAGCTCAGGGACCCAAGTTCAATCCCCAGTACCAAAAAAA